GGGGACGCTAAGCCCCGGAAGCACCTCAAGGTAACCCTTTTTGGTGTTTAATTAGAAAGAGAATGACGGGAGCCGGTCGGCCGAGCGGACAGCACGCTGGACTTGTGATCCTGTGGTCCTGGGTTCGATCCCAGGCGCCGGCGAGAAACAATGGGCATTGTTTCTTTCACCCTATGCCCCTGTTACCTAGCAGTAAAATAGGTACCTGGGTGTTAGTCAGCTGTCACGGGCTGCTTCCTGGGGGTGGAGGCCTGGTCGAGGACCGGGCCGCGGGGACACTAAAAAGCCCCGAAATCGTCTCAAGATAACCTCAAGATAACCTCAAGATAGATTAGCCTGTGGTGATACGGCATATTTTTCATTACCAAGGTTACACACGACGTGAATTGCAATGATTGCATTGTCTATCGCTTCGCACTTACCACTCAGTCTATCGGTTGGGCGGTGTTGCACTCATTCAGAGTGCATTGAAGTAGCTCTTTCTTAATCTTTTGTCTTGGAGATTAGCTACAAAATTACGCTCTTGTCTTGAAACAAAATTTTCAGCGTAGAGGCGCTGAATGTTCACATTATAGGCGGTGAATGTTCACATTATAGGGGCTGAATGTTCACATTATAGGCGGTGAATGTTCACATTATAGGGGCTGAATGTTCTCATTATAGGGGCTAAGTGTTCTCATTATAGGGGCTGAATGTTCTCATTATAGGGGCTAAGTGTTCTCATTATAGGGGCTGAATGTTCTCATTATAGGGGCTACGTGTTCTCATTATAGGGGCTAAGTGTTCTCATTATAGGGGCTGAATGTTCTCATTATAGGGGCTGAATGTTCTCATTATAGGGGCTAAGTGTTCTCATTATAGGGGCTAAATGTTCTCATTATAGGTACTAAATGTACTCATTATAGATACTAAATGTACTCATTATAGGTGCTAAATGTACTCATTATAGGGGCTAAATGTTCTCATTATAGGTGCTAAATGTACTCATTATAGATACTAAATGTACTCATTATAGGTGCTAAATGTACTCATTATAGGGGCTAAATGTTCTCATTATAGGGGCTAAGTGTTCTCATTATAGGGGCTAAATGTTCTCATTATAGGGGCTGAATGTTCTCATTATAGGGGCTGAATGTTCTCATTATAGGGGCTGAATGTTCTCATTATAGGGGCTAAGTGTTCTCATTATAGGGGCTGAATGTTCTCATTATAGGGGCTAAATGTTCTCATTATAGGTACTAAATGTACTCATTATAGATACTAAATGTACTCATTATAGATACTAAATGTACTCATTATAGGTGCTAAATGTACTCATTATAGACGGTAATATATCTTTAGCTTTTAAGCGACAGCTCAAAAGAATTATTAATGTACTTTCAAGTACTATTGCTTTAGAGTTCACTGTGTACAGGTTCGAATCTTTGTTTATAGATTCAGCTACTCGGAACAAGTTCAAGTAGCACGGGCTATGGTGATCCCGTAGTGGACTTACCTGGCACAGGAGCGGGGCAAGTAGCACGGGCTATGGTGAGCCCGTAGTGGACTTACCTGGCACAGGAGCGGGGCAAGTAGCACGGGCTATGGTGAGCCCGTAGTGGACTTACCTGCCACAGGAGCGGGGCAAGTAGCACGGGCTATGGTGAGCCCGTAGTGGACTTACCTGGCTCAGGAGCGGGGCAAGTAGCACGGGCTATGGTGAGCCCGTAGTGGACTTACCTGGCACAGGAGCGGGGCAAGTAGCACGGGCTATGGTGAGCCCGTAGTGGACTTACCTGGCACAGGAGCGAGGCAAGTAGCACGGGCTATGGTGAGCCCGTAGTGGACTTACCTGGCACAGGAGCGGGGCAAGTAGCACGGGCTATGGTGAGCCCGTAGTGGACTTACCTGGCACAGGAGCGGGGCAAGTAGCACGGGCTATGGTGAGCCCGTAGTGGACTTACCTGGCACAGGAGCGGTGCAAGTAGCACGGGCTATGGTGAGCCCGTAGTGGACTTACCTGGCACAGGAGCGGGGCAAGTAGCACGGGGTATGGTGAGCCCGTAGTGGACTTACCTGGCACAGGAGCGGTGCAAGTAGCACGGGCTATGGTGAGCCCGTAGTGGACTTACCTGGCACAGGAGCGGTGCCCGGTTCGAATCCTCCCCATATATATATAGGGCCCGGAGCGGCCCTCTGTCCCCCCAGCAGTCTAGAGACGTCGCTTGCCTTGCGTGATGTCGTTCAATCCCGCAGCTTCCGGAGTGCGGGCAAGTCTGCCGTCAAAAGGTCTAAGACAATAGACGGGATAAATGCGTATCTTGGAGACTGTCCCCGACACGAAGTCTTCCTCGTTTGGGACGATTTCTATATTCATCGTCTCTTTGTAGCAGCGATTTGGCTATTAAACCAGTTTTTGTCTGGTGGTAATCCCCTTGTGATTAGAGATTGGTCTTTTGATGGATTGTATGGGTGAATTGATTGTCTATTGTTTCTAGTTACTGTTCAATTTACAATTGAGCTTTTTTGACTAAAATTAGTGCGAGCGAAAATTATTGCTTTGTTATGCTCTGAAAACTGTTGTTTTCTCTGTCCAGTTGAGCCGAGGAAATGTCGAAGTTCAAGAAGACTCGTTTCTCGGAGCCCCAAGGATGACTGTTCTTGGAGGAGGAGGAGGAGGAGGGGTAGATGCGGGTCGGCTAGGAGGTGTACGGCTAGGATCTGGACGGCTAGGACGGCTAGGATCTGGACGGCTAGGACGGCTAGGATCTGGACGGCTAGGACGGCTAGGATCTGGACGGCTAGGACGGCTAGGATCTGGACGGCTAGGACGGCTAGGATCTGGACGGCTAGGACGGCTAGGACGGCTAGGATCTGGACGGCTAGGATCTGGACGGCTAGGATCTGGACGGCTAGGATCTGGACGGCTAGGACGGCTAGGATCTGGACGGCTAGGATCTGGACGGCTAGGACGGCTAGGATCTGGACGGCTAGGACGGCTAGGTCTATGGTTGACTAGGTCTATATACGAATATTGGGAGAGGTAGTGGCATATATTCACATGAGACCAGGAAATATTACACACAGGAATCACAATAGCGTGATGGATCAAATGAACAAATCCACAATGGCTGGAATGAAAGTGTAATGAAGTAAGGGTGAAGAGGTATAAAAGGCCTATTGACATAGCTCGAGTGCAGGGGGGAGTTGTGTAAAACCCTGGTTTGTGTCTCGGAGAGGCTACAGGATCCAGTAAGTTCAGTAGAACTTCTGGTTTCAATTCTTTTGACCATGTCGTAGCTCAGTCGATTAAGGCAGCGTCTGGGATGCTCTCGGATGTAGGTTCGAATCCTCGTCACGGCCCTTGTGGATATGTTAAGGAAATATTCCTGATCTGTGTTCTAGCGGGAAGAATGTTAAAAAAGTTAATTATAAAAAGCATTTCGCTGTCTCTTCGGCTTTCTAATTGACAGCAGAGCATCAAATTGGCTTTAACAACTCCATTCGTAGGCTGAAGGACATTGAGCTTTATTCATTTCTGGAGTAAAGACTATATCTTCTTTCTGGGTGTTTGGGAATTTGTTACATTTTATATTGTAGAAAAAATCGCATATCATTTTTTATCTGGTTTCACGGGTCGGTTTCACGGGGGCCTCGTAGCCTGGTGGATAGCGCGCAGGACTCGTAATTCTGTGGCGCGGATTCGATTCCCGCACGAGGCAGAAACAAATGGGCAAAGTTTCTTTCACCCTGAATGCCCCTGTTACCTAGCAGTAAATAGGTACCTGGGTGTTAGTCAGCTGTCACGGGCTGCTTCCTTGGGGTGGAGGCCTGGTCGAGGACCGGGCCGCGGGGACACTAAAGCCCCGAAATCATCTCAAGATAACCTCAAGATAACGGCTGGTTGGTTTGTTTATGACACCAGATCGGCTTGACACCGGTTGTGTCTGACACCACCACTTTGGGGCACCCGTCACCCCCTTTCCCACAAGTGGACCTCTTCCGTAGGCGCCACAAAGTGGGAGAGTAGAAAGTGGGGGTCTAGTTCGGTGCTAGCCGGTGTGCTAGCCTCTCTTACACCCTTCTCAAGCTTCAGTCTCTGCTCCTTTCTTACCCTTCTCTTGCCCAAGCCTCTGCTCCTTTCTTACCCTTCTCTTGCCCAAGTCTCTTCCCTCTCACTTCCGGTTCCACAGGTGTCTATGGGCTCATACTTACTCTGTCATGATATATATATATATATATATATATATATATATATATATATATATATATATATATATATGCATATTATATATATATATATATATATATATATATATATATATATATATATATATATATATATATATATATATATATATATATATATATATATATATATATATATTAATATATTATATGCTTAATTATATATTTTAGTTCCCCCTTATTTTGTGTCTTGGATGCTTATTAAATTTTGATTAACGACTGGTTTTATAATTATATTCGCCTAGTTAATCTATTAAGCATAATTTTTGATGTTTATTATTGTCTAATATTTTTGTTTTTTCTATATTCTGTGTAATTTTTGATATATAATTTGTTATAATTTCTGTTTTTGCATAAATTGATGTAATCTTTTCATTTTTAATTGTAATTTCGAATTAGTCTTTGTTGTCGCTGCTGAGTTTTATCAATTGGTATTTTAGTAAGTTTATTTAAGTTCAATATTGTGTTTTGTTAATTAGTGTAGTTAGTGTAATTATCTTGGTATTCATTATCTTTTTAATTCCTGTTCAGTTTAAGTTTCTTCGTTTGCTGGTTAGCTTTTAATCTAACCCGTTCTCGCACTTTCGTATAGTCAATATTGACTTATTAAATACGTGCATATGTGACATACTAAACATACTGTGACAATTACTCACCTAGTTGTGCTGACGCGGGGTTGAGCTTCGGCTCTCCGGCCCCGCCTCTCAATAGTTGAGTATGGCTGTTTATATGATTGCTCCTAACTAACCGTTCATATTTTGCACGTATTACAGGCGGCGTTGGTGTGGCCTCCAGGTGGAGAAGGCTCGCACAACAAAGGGGCGGGAGTAGTGGGCGGCGCGGGCGGTTCCTCGCCGCCCACGACTCAACAGGCGGCACCGCAGGGCCTTGTTCATTGGATGAGTGTTATGGCTGAACATATGAACAACCCTCACCATGATGCCATGCACTACATGTGGAATGGCGTCGATGTAAGTACTCTGTGAACTTTTGAACATTGCTTCATTGTGAACTTTTCAATGTTACTATACTGAACTTTTGAACGTTATTACACTATGAACTTTTGAACCTCACTACACTATGAACTTTTGAACCTCACTACACTATGAACTTTTGAACCTCACTACACTATGAACTTTTGAACGTCACTACACTATGAACTTTTGAACCTCACTACACTATGAACTTTTGAACCTCACTACACTATGAACTTTTGAACCTCACTACACTATGAACTTTTGAACCTCGCTACACAATGAACTTTTGAACCTCGCTACACAATGAACTTTTGAACCTCACTACACTGAACTTTTGAACCTCGCTACACTGAACTTTTGAACCTCGCTACACAATGAACTTTTGAACGTCACTACATTGAACTTTTGAACGTTATTACATCATGAACTTTGAACCTCACAACACTGTGAACTTTTGAACCTCACTACACACTAAGATCATCATGGGCTTTATATATTTAAATTTTAATTAAAAAAAAGTATTTTTGAATTCATTTAAGGTGAATTCAACGGGGATACATTAAGGGGAATTCAAACGTGTTTTATTAAGTATTCAAGTTTGGCTATTATGTATACCGGTGTATAATACACCATGTATTATGTATACCGGTGTATAATACACCATGTATTATGTATACAGGTGTATAATACACCATGTATTATGTATACAGGTGTATAATACACCATGTATTATGTATACAGGTGTATAATACACCATATATTATGTATACAGGTGTATAATACACCTTGTATTATGTATACAGGTGTATAAATACACCATGTATTATGTATACAGGTGTATAATACACCATGTATTATGTATACAGGTGTATAAATACACCATGTATTATGTATACAGGTGTATAATACACCATGTATTATGTATACAGGTGTATAAATACACCATGAATTATGTATACAGGTGTATAAATGTATTATGTATACAGGTGTATAATACATCATGTATTATGTATACAGGTGTATAATACATCATGTATTATGTATACAGGTGTATAATACACCATGTATTATGTATACAGGTGTATAATACATCATTGTAATTAAATACAACAGTATTTTGACCATTGTTAACTTTCTTATGGCTATTTTTCATTCTATGTATCTTTAAGGATACACTAAAGACACGGGTATACATAGCTAACATATGTATACCTGGGATGTGGCACGGGCATGAATATCCCGTAAATTAACATGCAGAAATTTGAAAGTGGGTTCACCTCGTCCTACGATTCACCCAAGCTTCTTAATCACCGGAGAATAGGGGGGGGGGGGGGGCTGAGGTGATTGTGTGAGATGTCAGGAATGGTTGGGTCGTTACGAGGGGATGTTGGACCAGTCTAACGTCATTCGGCGTCTTGGGTTGGGTATCTGTCGCGTGGAATTTCCGCCGGGGGTTGAAAACTGTTGCAGGCTGAGACTGCAAGCGACGCAGCCCACTCAGACACATACACACGCACGCACGCACGCACACACACACACACACACACACACACACACACACACACACACACACACACACACACACACACACACACACACACACACACACACATACACTAAGAGTGCTGGGAAGACGGGACACCACGAGCGTAGCTCTCATCCTGTAACTACACTTAGGTAATCACACACACACACACACACACACACACACACACACACACACACACACACACACACACACACACACTAAGAGTGCTGGGAAGACGGGACACCACGAGCGTAGCTCTCATCCTGTACACTACACTTGCTGGGAAGACGGGACACCACGGTAGCTCTCATCCTGTTACACTTAGGTAATTACACTTAGGTAATTACACACACACACACACACACACACACACACACACACACACACACACACACACACACACACACACACACACACACACACACACTAAGAGTGCTGGGAAGACGGGACACCACGAGCGTAGCTCTCATCCTGTAACTACACTTAGGTAATTACACACACACACACACACACACACACACACACACACACACACACACACACACACACACACTTATGCTTTAGCAGGCATCACTAACTGTTACCTATGGTAATTATTTTTACTTTAATCACCATAATTAGGGCATTTTTCAGGAGTGGCCATTACTTAATGCCGGCTTTAATTAAGTAATATCAGTCTGTTGGGATACTTTATAATACGTTCGTAAAGTAACTTTATAACTTAATGGCTTCCTTGAGGTTGTAGGATAAATCTAAATGTTCTTACACTTGAACTGGTCGGCATAGCGACGATCTCGCCTCTACAGAGTCAGAGTTCGATTCCCGATTACGCAAGCGATTGGGCACTATTCCTTCCCTCCGTCCTCATAACCCTAGTTCCTTGTCCTCATATCACTCATAATAAATGATTTATCTCCGAAAGGTCACCAATGCCAAATTTTGCCTTTTAACCGCATAATGTTTTTTTTTTAAAAAAACATGCAATATGTGAAGCAATATATGTAATTGATAATTTTTTTGGGGTATTTTGTTGTAAGAATTGTTGTTGAAAACCTTAGTTTTCTAAACAGCGATGAGTTGTTCGGTATTCTTGGCTCGTTTGATTGTTCTCCTGGTGCTCTTCAGGTGTTCTCTGGGTGTTCTGGTGTTCTCTGGGTGTTCTCTGGGTGTTCTCTGAGTGTTCTCTGGGAGTTCTCTGAGTGTTCTCTGGGTGTTCTCTGAGTGTTCTCTGGGTGTTCTCTGGGTGTTCTGGTGTTCTCTGATGTTCTCTGGGTGTTCTGGTGTTCTCTGGGTGTTCTCTGGTGTTCTGGTGTTCTCTGGTGTTCTGGTGTTCTCTGGGTGTTCTCTGATGTTCTCTGGGTGTTCTGGTGTTCTCTGGGTGTTCTCTGGTGTTCTGGTGTTCTCTGGGTGTTCTCTGGTGTTCTGGTGTTCTCTGGGTGTTCTCTGGTGTTCTGGGTGTCCTCTGGGTGTTCTCTGATGTTTGGGTGTTCTCTGAGTGTTCTCTGATGTTCTCTGGGTGTTCTCTGATGTTCTCTGAGTGTTCTCTGATGTTCTCTGGGTGTTCTCTGATGTTCTCTTGGTGTTCTCTGGGTGTTCTGATGTTCTCTGATGTTCTCTGGGTGTTCTCTGATGTTCTCTGGGTGTTCTCTGATGTTCTCTGGGTGTTCTCTGATGTTCTGGGTATTCTCCGGGTGTTCTCTGATGTTCTCTGGGTGTTCTCTGATGTTCTGGGTATTCTCCGGGTGTTCTCTGATGTTCTCTGGGTGTTCTCTGATGTTCTGGGTATTCTCCGGGTGTTCTCTGATGTTCTGGGTATTCTCCGGGTGTTCTCTAATGTTCTCTGGGTGTTCTCTGATGTTCTCTGGGTGTTCTCTGATGTTCTGGGTATTCTCTGGGTGTTCTCTGATGTTCTCTGGGTGTTCTCTGATGTTCTCTGGGTGTTCTCTGATGTTCTGGGTATTCTCCGGGTGTTCTCTGATGTTCTCTGGGTGTTCTCTGATGTTCTCTTGGTGTTCTCTGGGTGTTCTCCGGATGTTAGCTTCCCATCTCAATATTTTGTTAAACTAGCCAGCTTAATTTAACAAGAAATATACCCAACAAAGCCTGAATTTTTTTCTTTTACATGTATAATAAATTGGAACATGTACGAATTTCGTTCTAAATTGGTCTGTTATCATGAACAAAGTTAATTATTAGCAGTGGTATAAATTAGCGATCATAAAAAAGGTTGTTGGCAAGTAATCTTGGGTAGTTAATGTGATAATTCAAGATAACTATATAATGCTACTTTGAGGCTAATATGTGATTTGTTGCTTAAATTGGCGGGTAGTTCAGCAAGCTTGGCTCTTACTACAAGCTTGGCTCTTGCTACAAGCTTGGCTCTTGCTACAAGCTTGGCTCTTACTACAAGCTTGGCTCTTACTATAAGCTTGGCTCTTACTATAAGCTTGGCTCTTACTATAAGCTTGGCTCTTGCTACAAGCTTGGCTCTTACTACAAGCTTGGCTCTTACTATAAGCTTGGCTCTTACTATAAGCTTGGCTCTTACTACAAGCTTGGCTCTTACTACAAGCTTGGCTCTTACTACAAGCTTGGCTCTTACTACAAGCTTTGTCACACCCAACCACTTGGGCTGGACGGTAGAGCGACGGTCTCGCTTCATGCAGGTCAGCGTTCAATCCCCCGAGACCGTCCACAAGGAATTGGGCACCATTCCTTTCCCCCCGTCCCATCCCAAAATCCTTATCCTGACCCCTTCCCAGTGGTATATAGTCGAAATGGCTTGGCGCTTTTCCCCTGTATACATTCCCTTCAGGTATACCTACCTTGGCACTGTGCTTAACCACCGCTCGTAAACCCTGGTAGAGTTGGGAAACTATTGTGCTATCCTCGTTATGATAGCCACCCTCCCCCCCATTTTCCCATTATAAGGAAGCTCAAATTGGTTAAGTGATGTATTAAATTTAATGTGTTTCCTGTGAGTTATTCTACAACGTTGGAAATTAATCTGTAATCCAGGGAAAAAATATACATATATACTGTATATTACTGGAGAGAGACGTTAATAGGGGGCGAGAGGTTGTTAAGCCAGCGAAGCGGTGGTTATGTGGTGTTCTGTGTTCAATTAGAACACAAGGGCAAGCTAGAGATATGGAGCGCATTCCCCGCTACCTGTCCCTAGGCCCATAAAGATATACGCACAAAAAGATGGAAAAGTCTTGCAATAAATCAATTAACACAGCAATAAATGTCTCTACGGAGCGTGTAGTGAGGATTCACGAAGCTCCGAGACGAGGGCTTAGCAGTAAAGATAATAAGGGTTATTTAATTCAATAATTACAAGAGTACTGGAGGAAGAGTTGAAGCTCAGATTTTCTCAAGCGCGCGTAGATTACTTCAGGCGTTAAGGAACAGCTTCTACGGAACAGCTTCGAGCGAGCATAAAAAATATTGCCGGAACAACCGTGGACATCTTCAAGAGGAAACTAGATTTATTCCTCCAAGGAGTGCCGGACCAGCCAGGCTGTGGTGGGTATGTGGGCCTGCGGGCCGCTCCAAGCAACAGCCTGGTGGACCAAACTCTCACAAGTCAAGCCTGGCCTCGGGCCGGGCTTGGGGAGTAGAAGAACTCCCAGAACCCCATCAACCAGGTATATGTGGGCCTGCGGGCCGCTCCAAGCAACAGCCTGGTGGACCAAACTCTCACAAGTCAAGCCTGGCCTCGGGCCGGGCTTGGGGAGTAGAAGAACTCCCAGAACCCCATCAAGCAGGTATATGTGGGCCTGCGGGCCGCTCCAAGCAACAGCCTGGTGGACCAAACTCTCACAAGTCAAGCCTGGCCTCGGGCCGGGCTTGGGGAGTAGAACAACTCCCAGAACCCCATCAAGCAGGTATATGTGGGCCTGCGGGCCGCTCCAAGCAACAGCCTGGTGGACCAAACTCTCACAAGTCAAGCCTGGCCTCGGGCCGGGCTTGGGGAGTAGAAGAACTCCCAGAACCCCATCAAGCAGGTATATGTGGGCCTGCGGGCCACTCCAAGCAACAGCCTGGTGGACCAAACTCTCACAAGTCAAGCCTGGCCTCGGGCCGGGCTTGGGGAGTAGAAGAACTCCCAGAACCCCATCAAGCAGGTATATGTGGGCCTGCGGGCCGCTCCAAGCAACAGCCTGGTGGACCAAACTCTCACAAGTCAAGCCTGGCCTCGGGCCGGGCTTGGGGAGTAGAAGAACTCCCAGAACCCCATCAACCAGGTATATGTGGACCTGCGGGCCGCTTCAAGCAACAGCCTGGTGGACCAAACTCTCACAAGTCAAGCCTGGCCTCGGGCCGGGCTTGGGGAGTAGAAGAACTCCCAGAACCCCATCAAGCAGGTATATGTGGGCCTGCGGGCCGCTCCAAGCAACAGCCTGGTGGACCAAACTCTCACAAGTCAAGCCTGGCCTCGGGCCGGGCTTGGGGAGTAGAAGAACTCCCAGAACCCCATCAAGCAGGTATATGTGGGCCTGCGGGCCGCTCCAAGCAACAGCCTGGTGGACCAAACTCTCACAAGTCAAGCCTGGCCTCGGGCCGGGCTTGGGGAGTAGAAGAACTCCCAGAACCCCATCAAGCAGGTAATCAACCAAGTACGTCTCTTGTACGTCTGTTGAGAGCATTGCTGGTTCTATTTGTGACTTAATAAAATCCCAATTGTTCAATCCATCCTCATATTTAGATAGTGCCTATTGTGACAATCGTTAATAGTCAGAATTCGACATTCTTAGCTTTTAGATAGTAGTATATTGACTATTAAGAAATTCTAAAACAAATTTAAATATTTTTAGGCCTAGTATAGTTCACATATATGCTATATCTGGCCTCAGATATAGTGCATTAGGCCTAGTGACGTTAGGATAGGTTAGTTTGTCAAAGCAACATAAAAAAAAAATTCCTTTTCCAGTTTGTTCAACTCGATAGTACAGATATCTACTTTCTAATTTCGCTGTATGTCGGTATATGTACTATGGTCCTCGTCGGTACTTTAAGTACTACCAAAATAGAAGAATGAGCTACATAATTGCACCCAGGCAGTAGGACATGCAAATGACTGCTCCAAATATGTGAAAAAAAGAATATACTACATATTCATCAATATGTCTTAAACATGACATATTGATGGATATGTAGCATTATTTTGTTCGGTTCTTATATGTAAAAATAAGATTATGTAAGATAGATTTTTTTTAACCTATTAGAAGAGATGTTTATGGTAGACATTTCTATGTTAGCTACTTATCAGGTGTCATCTGAATGTAAATTTTAGCAGAGTTAGACTAAATTGCTCTATAAAAAAGCTGTTTTCTACATTGAATCTTGGAAGATTTCTGTATGAGTGTGTGATGGTTTGACCAACACAAGATGGTTTGATTGTTGGCTAGTTTATTGTGCACCCCATACTCATCCTGTGAGCGGTAGCGGAAAAAGCATTATAGAGGGCACAAAAGGTCTTTATCAGACCTCATCTTAGATTATTACATAAACAATTTCATCTATCCTTCACACCTTATAGTTATAATGTCAGTTAGTTACAGAGAAAGTGTTATTACAAGAGCTTTATATTTACAGTAAGTCATTATACATTAATGGTAGGTCTTATCGCTAATACATAATAGCTTGACCAATGGAGATATTAGAGTCACAGGGGAACTTCTGTTTATTATTAGTCTTCACAATACACTACACAAGAATGGTATGTGTACCACTACACCTCCAGCCCCTACACCAGCACACCTCTACACCACCACATGTACACAAAGGTACACCTTACGTGTGTACCTGTGTGTTTCAAATGCGTGTGTACATGAAACTATTTTGACAAGTGGAGAGTTATAGAAGGGTTCCACTACATTTTCTGTGTGTGTGTGTGTGTGTGTGTGTGTGTGTGTGTGTGTGTGTGTGTGTGTGTGTGTTTACTATTTGTAGTTATTGTGTCTGCAGAATCGAGCTATTAGCTCTTGGACCCCGCCTTTCAAACTACTTTCAAAATTCTTTCAAGCTACAGTGCACATTGAGTGTATATAATTATGTATTTATGAGGTGCTCTGATTGGTCTGTTATGAAGCCCAATGAGTGTCTGGGAGAAGATTATGAGGTATTGATTGATTAAGATTAAGCCACCCAAGAGGCGGCATGGGCATGAATAACCCGTGAATGGTAGATTTTGCTGGAGTGAATGTGATCTTTGGTCGTGAAGAGTTAGGAAGATAACGGCATGAAAAGGCGATAGTACGGTGAGAATATCTCGTTATCGCCAGCGGGAGTCGAAACCCGCACTTGACGCTATCGCTGTAGGCACTAGGATCCCAATCTGCTACTCTGCCACCACCCCTTAAACTATTTTAGAGTCTCGCGAGGTCAAAGATCTGCAAATATGTGTTGCTGGAGGTTTGGAATAGGAAGGGAGGGGCCAGTGGCGCTGAAAGGAGAGCAGACAGGCAAGAAAACAGCCATTTTCAACACCGACCACCTGATATCCGAAGCCAACTCAGCGGACAAAAACTTGGAGGAACAGTTACCAGACTGGAGCCAGAGGTGCGGCACGCGCGGTATCACCCGTAAGGCCACTTTTTCACTGCCTTTCTTTTGGTCAATCTTAAATACATTATCATGCTAATCATATGTGGTCTAGGATTTGGCCCGTCGTCACTTGATGACTGAGGAGTGATGCCTGGTGGTCGCTGTACCGGGTTACAGGGTTACAGTTAGTGCTTGTTGCTGGCTTGAGATGCCTCGGGGCGGCTTCCAGGTGGATTGCAAGATTGCAAGGCATCTTCTACCTCTACTTTTTAGGAGATTCTTGAGTTTTTTAATGAGATTCTTGAGGCTTTTCAGGAGATTCTTGAGGCTTTTTAGGAGATTCTTGAGGCTTTTTGGGAGATTCTTGAGGCTCTTTGGGAGATTCTTGAGGCTTTTTGGGAGATTCTTGAGGCTTTTGGGGAGATTCTTGAGGCTTTTGGTAGATTCTTGAGGCTTTTGGGAGATTCTTGAGGTCCTTTGGGAGATTCTTGAGGTCCTTTGGGAGATTCTTGAGGTCCTTTGGGAGATTCTTGAGGTCCTTTGGGAGATTCTTGAGGTCCTTTGGGAGATTCTTGAGGTCCTTTGGGGAGATTCTTGAGGCTTTTTAAGAGATTCTTGAGGCTTTTTGGGAGATTCTTGAGGCTTTTTAGGAGATTCTTGAGGCTTTTTGGGAGATTCTTGTGGCTCTTTGGGAGATTCTTGAGGCTTTTTGGGAGATTCTTGAGGCTTTTGGGAGATTCTTGAGGCTCTTTGGGAGATTCTTGAGGCTCTTTGGGAGATTCTTGAGGCTCTTTGGGAGATTCTTGAGGCTCTTTGGGAGATTCTTGAATCTTTTTGGGAGATTCTTGAAGCTTTTGGGGAGATTCTTGACGCTTTTTGGGAGATTCTTAAGGCTTTTGGGAGATTCTCGAAGCTTTTTAAGAGATTCTTGAAACTTTTTGGATTCTTGAAACTTGAAACTTGATTCTTGAAACTCCCCACTGGTGTGGGTAGTTAAAACCGGGTTTACTATAACCAAAACATAATCATATTTTTAAAACAACATTTACTTTCAAGTTAA